ACGTCACTTTCCGCGACAAAAAATGCTGACATCACGTGTGCGACCTGTGTTTACACTAGCCGGCATCATAGAAGCCCTCAGAGCTGCGCTCTGTCACTACCCGATCCATCAATTGTCCAAGCGCTTTCTGCTTGTTTGTTTTTGCAAGCGGAATTACTGCTCCTTGCGGAAGACCACAGACGAAGGACAAGGTTAAGAATGGGGAAGTACTGCCGCCTACAGGTCTGGCATGTCCATAACAACGTATTTATCCGGGTACGTGTGGACAGAGTTTGTTTTTTAAAACGCGGTGGTGTGGATGCAAGTTTTTGGAGGGGCGGATATTCGTTTTTAAAAAACCCGGCTATGTGTGGACTAGGCCTAAGCAATGTCTTTCTGCAAGGACACCAAAGATTTGGGGAACTACTGCCAGCTAAACGTTTGACATGCCTATAAATGCTAAAAACAAGTTTTTTTCCTACATGGCATGTACAAATCCATGTATTTGTACATAGATTTAGTCTGATCAGATTTTGAATCCTTTTACTTTTCTGCCTTTATTGTAATAAAGTGCTGTTGTCTCATGTACCTGTGATCATGCTCTTGAAGTAAATTCCAATGGACTGCCAAGATGCTGGTTTTTCTCAGAAGATAATTGGGTTGTAAAAACATTGAGAAGCTAATATTAAGGCTAATTGAGGCCAAAAGGTTATACATGGGAATTGTTTTATAAAATAGAAAATAGCCTGGACTTCTATAGTACCTTATCAAGTACAAGGACTCTAAAGCGCGTTATAGGACACAGTCTTTAACCCCTGCACACACATTCACACACTGATTATAGCCACAGCTACCCTGGGGCAGACTTACAGAAGGGAGGCTGCCATTCACAGGTGCCACCGGTCCCTCAGACCACCACCACCAGGCAAGAATGATAGTGTGTTATGCCCATAGACGACCCAACAACTGAGATGGATGAAGCTAGGGATTGATCTGGCAAACTACTGCTTACGCGATGAACACCCAACTCTTAGCAACCTAAGTGACTCTCGCCCTAGTGCACAGTGCACATAGCTCCTAAACTTCAAGGAAAATAACTTCCAGGTTCAGCAGAAAGGAAAAAGCTATCATTTAACCCTCCCACTGTCCTAATGGGTGTGACCCCGCGAGGAAAGTGTACCATTGAGCAGGGTTGATGGTTTATCCCTTGGGTCCATGTGGCAGGGGTGAGGAGTGAGCACCACCTCACCCCTGCCACGTGGACCTCAAGGGATAAACCATCAACCCTGCTCAATGGTCAACTTTCCTCACGGGGTCACCCATAAAGACAGTGGGAGGGTTAAATATCATTAATAAAAAAAATAGAAATACTTTGAGTATGAAAGGGTTAATGTTGTGAAAAAAGGTCAGAGAGTTATTGATCATAGAACACCCCCACCCTTGCTTTGTGGTTCCCATCTTATAATTTCCACTCACCACAATCGTTGGGACACAGCAATCCCAGATCCCTTGATGTGGCTCAATGTTGGAGTACTTACTGTGGCAAACGGTCTCTCCTGGCAGCTAAACTACAAACAAACAGACCTAAACGTGTTCCTGCCATGAACTGTCTGAGTCCGGATCAGGCCCAGATGTCTGCTTTCTGCTGGTCTGTCTTCTTCTGTTATATCACCCAGCATATCAAAGGGTTCTTAACATCAGAGTCACAGGTAACACCTCTTTTAGACTCTATTGAATTTTGTTCCACTAAGGCTGGAAAATCACTCATTGGTAGGTGTATACATGAAGCTTGGTAGCTGTTATTTATGGCTCTAGGACAGAAAACTGAAATGTTGCTCCAAAAATCTGCTAGACCTAATTTTCCAGTCTGGGGATCACAGCTTAGATGACCACTAGCACCACTGTGGACTTTCCATAACTTGTGTTTCCCCTTTCAGTTATTTGTATTTATCAAACCTCTTTTGTTCCTAACTCTTTGGGATCGCCGTATCTACTGCTGCGTCCTTTAGATTTTCAACCACAGCGTCCTGATGGTTAAACAACACCTATTTGTCAGTTTGAGTCTTGAAGTCATTTAGGATGTTATGCCTGTCGGTCTCCATCATCATCAGAGGTGTCTCCTGTTTTCATTTAGGACTTTAAACTCATACTTCTTGTATTGTGGTAGTGTACAGAATCCAAATTGTTTCATTCAGTTCAGCAATGAAAATACATCTCTTTTAGCGCCCAAACTGTTTTTATTTGATACAGTTTTATTCATTAAACTATAAATTCACCAAAGTTTATGTTCAATCCTGGTCCTTTAGCCACTATCCTGCATGTTATAGATGTTTGCTCCTCCTCTTCAAGTGTGCTTTCACTCCTGCACATTTTTCATTTAGGTCAAACTCTGGCCCCATTTCCCCTGGTAAAGTTTGGCTGAGCAGGTATGAACACAGTATTCATACTAGGTTTCAGAACATTTCCAGAACATACCAAAATCGTACGAAGACCATCTCCTCTTGATATGGTTCCTTGGTTCCAAACAAAATCAAAGGCTGTTTGTTTAGTGTGAACCCAATTCACCAATGGAGTGTGTACACAGCATACCAAAACAGGAGAGTTAACGGTTAAGCGAGTATTAACCTTGCTCAATAACCGGTTAAACAAATTTTGGAAAACATGCATCCCTAATTATTTTTAATAAACTGTACTGTATCATCAATGTCTCTATATTGCTATCTTAATTATAAATTTGGTTATTGTGTGCAAATTTACCATAGGGAACCTAAGTCACGCCCATCTACTTCTAGACCGAGGGTCCCCGGAAGAACAAAAAAATGAATGCAAGTCAATGGGGCTGAAAACTCTATTTTCTAATTCTGCCTATTATGTGCCATGGATCTCACATATGATGTCCGTAAATTTTAAATACGCATTTTGATACCAAGAACGCGCTTATTTTTGAGGGGGTGGGTGTATGTTTGTGTGAAAATAAGTCCAGCAAGACAAATGCGCTTCACAAAAGTGATGAACCAGACACGGAGAAAAATAAAGGGAAAATGGCTGTAAGTTTAGCAAACATAAAATCCATCCTTTAGGAGAAGAAAAGCACCATAGATCTGGCCATGTCATAAGTAGCAACTGCACTAGAGGAGAAGAGATTCGGTGGTTAACATCATATTTGCGCCGTGCCGATATCTAATTTGTAGTCATGTTAATTACGAACGTTTACAAGCTGATAAATCTCAAAGTACAGGACAGGCATGGTCGAAACACCCATCATTAGTTTTCATTTAAATTGCAGTACAACATTTATGCAATCCAGGGCCCCATTGACTTGCATTCATTTTTTTGTTCTTCCAGGGACCCATGAGCCAACCAGAAAAGGAGGAGACTTAGGCTCCCTATAGTCAGTAATGCTAACCAACTGGACATTTGTGTTACTAGTATTCATATTGTGTAGCAATACATTTGTTAATTATGACCAATAAGATGTGATATTCTATATAAATATGAAATATCAATCTGATTGATCTTTGAATGTTTAATCAGAAGATTCTCGGGTTCTTTGCTTATTCAGGGACCATAAACACACTTCGTATTAATTCCGACAGTCAAGTATATAGTTTATAAAATGAATTTAATTATTTATCCTAAACTAATAATTTATACATGACAAGATATGAACAATTAGATGTGGTGTGGTGGATGTGAGGTGTTGTGATGGAAGCTAGATGTTGTAGCAACCGTTCTTTGTATCTGACAGAAATTGTGAAATCTGGGTGTAAAAGAATTTGTTGTTTGGTTCTAAACTACAGAGTTGTTTATTAAAAACAGCATCAGACACAATCTATTGGGCCAAGTCTATGCACCATTGGTGTGGAGGTTCTCGTTCGATCCGGGGGGTCTTGCAGGTCTCTGCCGGTGGAGTAAACCTCTGATTTCAGGAACCTGTAGCCAGTCCCAATAGGACCCGTCCAGTCTGAGATCCCTTGAGGTGAAGGCAGGAAGTTGGAATGCTTATTTGCGTCTAAGGCTGATGCTTGCTTGGCTCTTGGAAGAGCCGGCTGTCTGGTATCAGCTGCAGCGTTGCAGAGAGGCTTTGACAGGAGGACAAAGGAGATTGTTTCAAATGAGGCTTCTTTCCCGATTTGGCTGAATCGGGAGTTAGCTGGAAACTGAATTGATCGGGAAGTAATTCTTGTTTTATTAAACCACTTTGTTATGATTTCTGGCCAAGTTTGGCCAATCAGAATTTGACACGTTTCTGAGTATTTACCAACATCCCTCAGAAAGCCACGCCTTCCTCAGATACAAAGATGTTTTTAACACTGTGAATGAGAATGTCTTGAAACTCTTATGTGAGGTGCATGTTAACTTTAATGAGTATCTCATTGTAATGTGTATGTGTGTAAACAATAATTAACTTGTCAAATCAAACACATAGTGATTTGTGATATAAATGGATCACTGTAAGAACAATATTCATTTCAAAGCCATCAGTGATTTAAGCACAGATTATTCAAACATTTCATTTAAACATCTTGTTCATTCATCACATACGATTATTGTAAGCTTATCAGTTGTAAAATCATGGAGTCTTCACTTATTCAGAGTGAAGAATGTTGACGTCTGGCTTTCACGCAGAGAGTGTAGGACCTTGAGGAAAATGTTTACGTCTCCAGATGAGGAACAAAAAGTGAGCAAAGGGTTTTTTTGGGAGTCCAGGTGGTGTTGCTATGAAAGGTGCATGAAAGTTTATGTTGTGTCAATTGGATGGTGAAAAATAGACCCTTTTTGGAGATTACAACTGTTTATTGTAACTTTTAATACACTGAAATAACTTAGTTTCATCATTTCCTGTTGGAGATAATACAGTAACACCATTGTAAAAACAAATTTTAAATAATGTATTTTTTTATTGTTATTTCACATGCTTGATGCTTGTATTGCTTTATTTATGATAGCTGTTTAAAAGCTGTATAGCTAAAATGGAAATGCTTGGTGGTTTGTAAAATAAAATACAAAATCAGATTTTTGTTTCTTTATAGTTTATTACAGGAGTACACGACAGTCTTGGTAGCAAAAAGAAAAGGAAAACCTAGCTCAAGACATTCATATTTGAACTAAATTAACTTTTTATTCCCTGTAAAAGAATAACAAATATGTACAGAATGATTTCAGACAGATTCAGAAACCAACAGGTGAGAAGGAGCGGAGGTGTAGTCACATGGCACTTAAAAAATAAACTTATCTGGCAAGTGCTTTATGTTTTTCATAATTAATGTAAAATAAAATGCAATGATAAGTACAAATAACAAAAATAATTACAGTAATCAAGTCAACAATATCAACATTTTAAACAATGTTTACAATATAAATTGAAATCCACAATTCTAAATACACCCAATATTTACCAAAGATGTTCTCGTGTAGGCTAAAAACTCTAACTCTGTAACAGGATAAAAAATAGCATTTCAAATATCTTATAACAATATTAATCATACAATAACATTAATATTAGGTTATTAGTTGATGTAAATAGCTAATTTTCTTTAATATTCTGCTTAAGAATAATATACAAATTAATACAAACAATAACCCATTAATGCTCTTTCTGCTTTAAAAATGCAAAAACTTACACAATAAATCTCACTCAATACAAACTATTGCAATCTAGAACTCTCATTTTGTAAATGTATACAAGAGAAGCAGCAAAAAAGTTAATATTTTTGTATTTTTTCTTTTATGAAAAACAAAACAAAAAGTCAGTGGTGTGGTTGGTAGAATAGAATAAACGCAACGGCAAAGTCCATCTGGAACGCAACAGGATCGTCCAATCAGGAAAGCTCAATGAGAGGTTTCCGCCTTTTCCCTGAAACCTGATTGGTCCATTGCTTATACATGTTAGAGTCTAGAACTTTGTCGGTTGGATTCTAGAATGATTCATTGGAAAGTTTTGGAATTCCGTTGTGGAAAGTTTTTTTTTTTCTGTCCGGAGTTGAGTTCTGCACCGGAAGCATCAAATCTTCGTAAGCTCACAAAGTGGAATTGGGCTTGCTTAGCAGTCGTGTTGTTGATTGGAGGAGCAGTAGGAATGTGTGATGCCAACGTTTTCACGAGCTCCCACTCAGCAGCTCTCCAAGGAGTTTTGAAAAAAAATATTAATAGAAATACACAAATAAAGACAAACAGAAAGTCAAGGCAACACTTAAGCAGCATGTACGTAGGTCACTTCCTCTTTACTTTCATCGTAGTCTCCGGTGTTTTTCTCCTGCACCACTTCATGAGAACAAGTTCACCGTTAGCCGAGAGTATAATCTCAAAGCAAGATGGTATTGTTTATAACTCCGATATTTAAAGAGAGGTTACAATGCAGAGTCCAATTAGCCTACCCAGAAAATGTCTTCCAAAAGTTAAATACATTAGCTGATGAAAGATATGTAAAATAGTCAATTCACCTCTAAAATATAGCAGTGAATAACAGATTTTATTTTACAATCAGAAACGTGAAAAAGCAGAGGCGTGCTCATTTTTAAGAACAACATGGTTGCACCTGAGTTTACTATCGATAGGACTAGGCTTCGTGATGCATGGGGAACATTCAAGTTAATGCATACAGGCAACATGTGGACGTGGAAAAAAAGAACAGAAGTGTACACTTTTGTTCAAGATGGAAATTCTTTCTGATAAGGACAAAAGATTAGAAATCTTATTCCTGAAAGTATAGTTATTAAGAATATTAAGGCCACCTAGCTCACTCCCTCATTTGATTTCAACTTTCAACTAAACTCGGAACAGTCTCGTGTTTTGTCCCGATCCTAACCAAGGAGCTTAATTTTCCTGGTCGAAGCCAGCGGTACTGTGACTACAAGGGAAACGAAAAGAACCAAATCAAATAAATATTTAATGATGTCCCGAACTTTGTGTCCTATTATTCCTCCCCTGTCAGCTTATGAAGAACTTGTTACATTTATAAAGTGAACATTTAGAAATGTTGACTATAAGCAACAATTAACCCATTCACACCCATTAAGCCCAACAACTCCCTCTTTGTTTTGCATTGATTTTTCTCCCTGACAGGCAACATCACTTTAAGTGTTTATGACACAGCTTGATAAAACACATGCCTATGCCTCAGTTTGCCATCTATGGTGCTATAACAATTCACTTGCATGTCAGCTACTAATTTAAATTTAAGAGTAAATCTTCTGAATTATGATTTAACCTAAAATCACGAGTTAAATTTTGGTTCGAAACTACAAGGGAACCAGGAGCGTCTTCATTTGTCATATATCCACTTCAAATAAGCTAAAAGACAAATAAAATATTTTACTGACATTGATTAAAAACAAGAAAAATGTTAGAAAAACAAAATATTTTTCATCCTATACCCTGTTTCATTTTTCTCACCCTTACTTCTCCACCCTTCATTTAACCAAAAGTCTCTTGTGCACTACTTTTGTTAAAATTATATTAGATAGCTTTTTGTATATATTTTGTATATTTATTCAGAAAATACACAGACAAAAGAAAAATTAAGATTTTTTTGGCAGTTTGTTCAGTTTTTAAAGGAAAGTCCCGATCATCAGGTCTAACAAGCGACAAAGATGTTTTAGTCTGAAAGGAAGCTCCAATTTGGCAGAACAAAGGTGAAGAAGAAAAAAATCACTCTGAAATTAATTTTGCCTTCCATTAGTCTTCTCCGTGAAGATTTCCATTGTTGATCTTCTCTCCCCTCCACTGCTCCTGATCACCACCTTTTCTCAAACTGTTGCTCCCAGCAGCTCGTCTGACTTGGTCATGATTTCATTCTGATTGGAGTCCAAGCCATAGAACTTGACCTTTAACCCATCGACAGGGTGAACCACGGGAACCGTGGTCACACGTGGGAACTGCCGAGTGGCCAGCTCAAAGCGACTGGTGCTGGCCAACTCGATAGCCAGTAGGCGAAGGAAAAGGGTAGCGAGCTGCTTTCCCAAACAGGATCTGACTCCACCACCAAAGGGCAGGTAGTGGAAGCGGCCCTCTTTGTCTTCACTTCGCTCTTGACTGAAGCGGTCGGGATCGAAAGCTTCCACATCTTTGAAGACAGCAGCTGTGTCATGAGTGTCCCGAATGCTGTACATCACACTCCAACCCTTTGGAATCTGGACTCCCTGGAGACAAAAAGAGACAATAAAACTGTTTGAAAAGTGTGATAATATCTTGTTTTATATTTACTGTAATGAAGTATAAACTAAAGATTGTACATATTTATGATGGTTCAGCGTGGCTGGTAGTATAAACAGATAGACAAGAATGTCATCAGCAAAACAAAAGATCACAATTTTACTATTCTTAAAAGTTGATCCCAACGAAGGTGTAATGAGAAGAGAAAGGGGCCTCAGGTTTAATCGAGGTATCCCATAAAAAAGCAGGTTACAGAAAACTTTCTAAAAGAACCAAGAGTTATAATAGCTTAATCACGAAAAGTGAAAGAACTCTAGAAGAACATGAGACTCACATCTAATTCGAAGGTCTGCACTGCTGTTCTGTAGGCCCCTGAGACGGGTGTATAGAGTCTCAGCACCTCCTTGATGACACAATCCAGGTACTTCAGGCTGACGATCATGTCCAGCCTCAGTTCTCCTTCCGGGCAGAGGCAGCCATTGTGAAGAAGTCCCCTAGCTCTGAGCTCCTCTCTGAGGCGCTCTAGAACCTGAGGGTAGCGAAGGAGCGCCATGATCAACGAGGTGCTTGCGCTGGCAGTAGTGGCAAAGGCAGCAAAGATCAGCTCAATGGTTGATTCCTGTGGTGAAAGGAAAAAGAAAGTTGGTGCTTTAATCCATTATTTTTTTCTATTCTGGTAATTATTTTGCAATTTTATTGGAAAATCTGACCCTCAGGTTGGTAACTCAGTGAACCTATCATGCTGAGTTGGGAGTTTCTAAACTACAAAGGATTTGAATTTGGAAAGTAACGTTCAACAAGCAGTGCTCACAAGTTGGTTTTATTTTAGTTTGTGGTCAAACCATCTGTTATTTCAGCCTCCAGTGAAATTATTACTTGGCATATGAATAAAAGGCTAGAAATTTTAAATAAAGATGGTTTTATTATGTGTTAAAGGGTTAACATACCCTACCATAACGACAATTACCATTTCAACAGCGGTGCAGAATTTATGGTTGTGGAAAACTGATTTTCTCACCCAGCATGTTGGAGATGTCAGCTGCTCTTTGATTTGTTGTTTTGAAAATGCAAAACCATTTTTGTTAGTTGGGTTTGAAGCCAACCCAAGCAACATCAACCATGGAACTTACTCTGGCTCCAAATCCACCACCCTGCACTTCAAGCTAGTCCGTAGGTGCATAATGACGTATTAAAAGCTAATACATAATAAAAATGTTGTTGCTATTTATTAAAAAGTAGAGTGTTTGAAAGTCTGAGTCTGTTATCCAATAACAACACTTAACGGTGCCATGCTGGTCCGTAAGTCTGTGGAATAAATAACACAGACTGGGCAGCGTGCCTTGCATTGTAAACCTCTCAGCTCCCATCATCTACGTCTGTGCTTCACCCAACGTGTGTGTGTGTGTGTGTGTGTGTGTGTGTGTGTGTGTGTGTGTGTGTGTGTGTGTGTGTGTGTGTGTGTGTGTGTGTGTGTGTGTGTGTGTGTGTGTGTGTGTGTGTGTTTATATGTGTCAAAGACGTGAAAGGGAAAGCCTGGGCCTCTATGACAGGGCCTCCCCAGTTCAGTTTTGTGTGTGTGTTTAAGTGTGTGTGTACAGGAGGCCTCATTCAGACCCCTAGCAGGGGCAGTGTTGACTTATTTTTGGCCCTGGACTTCACCCAGAAACCACAAGGAGCAAGAGAGAGGCCGAGCCGAGTTTCCAGAGAATTCCTCAAATAGGTAAACAGAGGGCGTGCCTGTTCTTGAATGTGTGTTTTTTTAAGTATCTGCCTGCAGACATCAAATTAGCATCCTTCTAATTTTACAGAACGGTTTGTTTCACGACAGGATAACTTTTTATCTTAACACACATGGAGTTTTGTTTATTTGCAAACCTCTGTCTGTCTGAGTGAATTCTATGGCCTCCAAAGTATGCATTGCACACCCTACTCTCTTGGTGGTTTTTTGTGAGGAGGTGTGTTACCTTAAGCTCTTGCATGGTGAGCTCAGTGCCGTTCTCTTTGGCGCTCTCCATCAGGACGTCTAGAGCGTCACTGTAATCCTTCCCCTGAGAGCACAGCGGCTTCTCCCGGATGGCCTTTTCGATGCTCTTCTGGAGGATGTCCCGAGCACGGATTCCCTGAGAACACAGAAGCATGTTAACCATCCAACAAGCCAACTTCACAGGCTATCCCTTCACATTGGTGTGTGTGAATAAATCACGAGTCAATGGTCCTTTTGCTCATTTGAGCCTCACTAAAAACAAAATGATCCTACCTTCCTAAAGCCGCTGAAAGGCAGGTCTATGGGCAGGCTGAAGAGGTTGTTAACAAAGTCCTGGAACGTTGAGAACATGTGCCTCATTTCCTCCTCAGATATCCTGAAACCCAGCAGGACCCTCAAAGCCATGATGAATGACAACCTTTGGCTCTCGCTGTGGAACAAACACATCACGTATCCCAAATCAGAAAAGACATGTCTTTGCAGACGATCTATTGGTTTACAGGCTAATTGCAGAATTGGGTGTTGCAAGACTTTTATTAATTTAAGTCAAGCGTCCAATCCTGGTCAATTATGCATTTTTTAAGGTTTCTCTTAAAAACACCTGATTTTAATCACTGCAGAGCCTGATGACCTGCGGAACAGGTAATTCAACAAGTCACTCAGGCGTGTTGAAGCAGGAAAATGACTAAAACATGCTGCACAGTGGTCCTTGAGGACCAGGATTGGACCTGACTGATTTTGGTAAAGGATCTGAATACGAAGACCACTGATGGAACAGCAGATGTACCTGTAGACATTAATGGGCTCTGGGTTGGAGCTCCACACTCGGAGGCTCTCTTGGATGACCTGCTGGATTTTAGGGAGGTACGACTCCAAGGCTTCGTGACTGAACACTTTAGCAAACACCTGCAGAGAGAGCATAAGAGGAACTCTTAGTTGTTTGCTATAATCTATGTGTAGACAGAACGAACCGATGATCATAAATCCTGACTGACAGGTCAGAAACAAGTTTCCTCCTAAGTCGCGTTTACAGTTATCACCACCTAAAAATGAAAGTGACAAACGTGAATAACTGGAGGGGGAAGATAGTGCAAAGTCCTTTAGTCTTCATTTTTAGAATGCCGTTTTCTTATTTATTTCTTCATTCTCTCACTCCCTTACATGTCGCAGGTTTTTCCCTGCAGTCAGCAGAATGACAGAAGAGAGGAGGGGGCACATTTCAGCTCTTTCACGGCTTTTTCATCAGTATGAACCCGTCCCCGGTCGTCAGTGCTGTTTGAACAAACAACATCCATCAGATTTAACCTCCTAAACTGCTCTTAAAACAGCGCTGGGCATTATTTAGACGTCGAGGAAAACAAATATGGTCTTTGTAATAATCCTAAAGCTTATCTGTATCTAGCTCTCGGAGCACAGAGAACAGAACATGAAGGTGCTGCTTGTTTGGCCAAATTTAAAATCCCAAAACAGTGAAGTTCTTTCTCCAATCAGATGGTTCGAGGCCCACAGATTTTCCATCACGGGGGCTGATTGAACCAGAAATGGCAGGAAGGCACAGCAGCTCATTCTGGAACCCAGTTGGGCGACTTCTACACATGGTTTACATTTTCTGCTCAATGAAACGAGACTGGAACGTCTGAACAAGCAAATTTTTATATTGGCCCTTCTGTGTAATGATTAGTGGCCAGTGGAGCCCATCAGCTCCCTCTGAGAGGATCACATTCGATTTGGGTTCAGTCATAAGTCACACATTTTTTTATGTACATTTTTAGTTACTACGGCAACTGTTTCACACAATTCCATTCGTTTTTCTGGCTGTCTTGTCTGAGAGTGAGTACAGGGTTTGTTTGGACCTCTGTGGGAGGCGTTTCCCATATTCATACACAGTAAAGGAGTGTTTTTTTTACAGTGACAAGGTGGTTCTGGTTTCCATGTTGAGTCTTTATGGAAGTTGAGAGGGAAGAAAGGAGCTCCCATCGGAATTTGATCCCAGATCAGTGAGGGAACGTGTGGTTTTGAGGTCAATTCTTCACCCACCAAACCATCAGTTGGGCACTCATCCTCTTATTTTTTTGTCTTCCTCCTTTTTCTCTCATTTTCTTTCTTCTCTGTTGCCCTTTAATTTCCTCTTTCATTCCCCCAATGGCTTTGTCCCTTCTCCTCCTCAGGATGAATGAACAACAGCGCCGAGTGAACGAGTGAATTATGGCAGCACCATATGGATGGATGTATACATCCTGAGTGTGTGTTAAGGAGTGGTTTAGAACAGATCACAGAGCAAACTAAAACGTTAGCAGAGCTACATTTCCTCTCTCGGCTGCATCCTGGGCGGCTGGTCTCAGATCAGTTTACATGTCTTCAACCACAAACATATCTCACACACTGTCTGACCCCAGAGGAGCCAAAACACTGGCTGTTGTTTAGTTCATCTACAAGTCACCAACTCTGTGTTGTTATGCACATTTTACATTCCACATGACCCACGGCATCAGTTTGGTGTCGTCTCCTGGTTGCAGCATAATGGTCTGATCCTACAGGAGCATGCATGGGAATGGGTTTAATTTATTTAACCATCAAACTTGGGCCTAATTTGGTGGATTCAACTAATTAAAGAGGTATTTTCTAGAACCACAGTTTTTTAATTATTATTTTAGGTTTAGAAAGTGTGTGACATCATCACACTTTAAGGATTCTGTGGTAAAAATCTTGACATTTAAACTGCGGTTGCACGAAAAATCATACAAAATGTGAAAGCACCAGTTCAGCCATAGAAAGTCCAACTGTCTGAGGCTTGTTTAAACTTCCATTGATGTTTCTACTGTGAAGTCTACCTGAGCTATGGAGCTTTAAACGGAAGGGGATCTACTTAGACCGCAACCCCATAGGCTTGTATGGAGATTCTGTAAAAGCCATGTGTATTTGTGCTAGTTGAGCTGCATGCTTTAGCATGTTTTTTGGTGTAGTTTATCACAATATATCATTATAATAAACAGCTAAAATACACCATCATGGAATAGAATGGGTATAATAAAAAGAAACTTAAAGGGTTAGAAAAGCTCTATAGCATTTTGGTACTTTTAACAAAACTATTCCAATCATAGGCGAAACTAAAGAAGAAGAAAGAAGAAAAATATATCATTTCTATAGCGCCTCTAAAGATAAAAATCACGAGGCGCTTCACAAAAACAAAAAATGTAAAAATACAAAAAAGAATTTAGAAAATTGTTAAAAATATAATATAAATGAGCAAAAAATAGACAATTGTGATTAAAAAATTGTTAAGAAAGAGAGAGAGAGAATGGGAAAGAGAGAAACCAGTGGATCCTGAGGAAGGTGGAATAGGTGGGGAGAGCAGAATAAAGAGAGAGAGGTGAAGAAGGTGATACAAAGGCCAGCTTGAACAAGTGAGTCTTCAGCTGCTTTTTAAAGGAGTCCACTGATCTCAGGCTCAGGGGGAGAGAGTTCCAGAGTCTGGGGGCCACAGCAGCAAATGATCTGTCACCTTTGGTCTTTAGCCTGGTGTGCTGCACAACCAGTAGGCTTTGGTCACTGGACCTCAGGGACCTGCTGGGGGTGTGGGGACTAAGAAGATCACCAATGTAAGCTGGTGCTTATCCATGTAAGGCCCTATAGACCAGAACCAGGATCTTGAAATGAACCCTGAAGTTGACTGGCAGCCAATGAAGCTGGAGGAGAAGCGGGGTGATGTGGGTGTGTTTGGAGGACTTGGTCAGAAGCCGAAAGGTCACACCAAGATTCCTGATGGAGGGTTTTGTGTGAGAAGCAAGCTGACTAAGAGAGTCTCTGACTTTGGGAACCAGCTTGTCTGGGGCACAGATGAGGATCTCAGTCTTATCTTCATTCAGCTGTAGAAAGCTCCCAGCCATGCAGGTTTTGATAGTCTTAGCAGGTGTGTAACAGCTGCAGCTTAGACATCTCATGGGGCTTAAAGGAGATGTACAGTTGGATGTCATCTGCATAAAGATGGTAGGAGATTCCTTTGAAGGAGCTTAGGATGCGCTGAAGAGGAAGCAGATAGAGGAGGACGCGCAGAGGCCCCAGCACAAAACCTTGTGGGACACCATGGGTAAGGGAGGTGGTGGAGGACCGAAACTTGGATGGGGCCACAGAGAAGAAACGCTCAGCCAGATAAGAGGAGAACCACTCCAGAGCAGATCCTGAAAGGCCTACCCAGTCTCTCAGCTTCTCCAGTAGCAGGTGATGGTCAACAGTGTCAAAGGCTCCAGTCAGGTCCAGCAGGACCCGAACAGAACAGTCCCCTGCATCACTGTGAGTCAGAAGGTCATTAGAGACCCTAAGAAGAGCTGTTTCAGTAGAATGAGCTCTACGAATACCTAACTGGAATCTATCATAGATGTTATGTTCATCAAGAGCAGCTGTGAGTTGTTTAGCCACAACCTTTTCCAAGATCTTGGAGATGAACAGAAGTTTAGAGATGGGTCTGAAGCTGCTATGGAGAGAGGCGTCAAGACTCGGTTTTTTAAGAAGCGGGTGGATTACAGCATTCTTAAAATAAGCAGGGACCTGACCAGAAACCAGAGAAGCATTAATTATAGAGAGCACGCTGGGACCGATGGACTGAAAAGCACTTTTAAACAAAGATGAGGGTAAGATGTCGAGGGGGCATGCAGAGGTCTTCATAGAGTTAACTAGTTTGGTTAACTCAGGCAAAGAAACAGGAGCAAAGCTATCTAGGATGATGGGCCTGGTTGGAGTCGGGAGAGGCAGCGATAAGGCTGAAGGAGAGATGCTAGATCTAACCTTATTGACTTTGTCGACAAAGAAAGAGAAAGTTCTCAGTCTGCAACAGAGTGGATGGAGGCTGTAGGAGACACACACAAATGCACAAAACATAATAAACATCAACATGTCTTCAGAGGATTAGTCACAATTTCTCCATTTCACTGAACACTTTACCTGATCCGACACACACAAACACACACACGGGTCACCGAACAGCAAGGCCATGCTACTGTACGACCTGTAAGTGAGTCAGTGTGTTGCAGGCTGAAAGGTAACTACAGGTCATACGCTTCCAGACACACATACACACACACACACACACACACACACACACACAGCACCTCACTGCACAACCTAGCCGCCAATCAGTTTTTATGCAGTGTCACTACGATGTGTTATAGGTTCCACTGTGTGTGTGTGTGTGTGTGTGTGTGTGTGTGTGTGTGTGTGTGTGTGTGTGTGTGTGTGTGTGTGTGTGTGTGTGTGTGTGTGTGTGGTGAGGGGGATTGTTCACTAAAACAGTCATTTTGCAGCACCACAAAAACGTGACTGTCTTCTGTAGCCTGCAGCGCAAAGACACAGATTTCACGAAACACACACACACAGTTGTCCTAATAACCTCCATATGTCTTAAATTATGTGAAAGTGCTGCGAGCTGCTGGTTCCACAGACATGTAAAGACTCCTTTATTCTTTTCTCTGCCCTTGCTGCTCCCACCTCTTCCCGTCTCTGCCTGCCTCTCTATCCATCCATCCATCCATCCTCCTTTTAAAAATACCCTTTCTTTTCTTTCAAACCACCTCTACTGTGGGACTTTCCGTGCATCTGTCGTCAGGCTGAATCACAGATTGCTTTGTTGTTGAGGGTCAGCCAGGTGAACCTCACAAGTCTCCCTTTTTAAGTGTTTGATGTTTAATTTAAGCCAACTCTTTCTTATTTTTCAGCTTTATTTATTTGTGTAAATTACATAACATCACAAAAATCTGTTTTATTTTTCTACATGAAATTGTTTGTACAAACCAAGATGAGATCAGTTAAAAATGGCAGTGCCCTCTACTGGTTATTAGAAGAATCACACCAATTTAATCCAGCTCAGATTCAACTCCTGCCATGTGGGGCAAAATTAGTTGTAATTGTAAATTAGCTGTAAATTAACCATTTATTTCGTTTTTCTTCAGGGGCAGTCTTGGTCGCAAGAGGGGGAAATATAGTGGAAAGAAAAAAGAGGTGGGAAGGAGGCAGTTTAAGAGAAGAAAAAATTGGGAAGTGATGGTGGGAGAAAAGAAATTGGCGAGCATTGTTCCACCAAAGAGAGACTTTTCCACTGTGATTCTGGTGGAGAGCTTTCTGACCTTTAAGGCATCAGGCTCCATGTTTGGAAGCAAGAGCAAAAATAAACTCAGATCATTCATCATTTTAAAACAAAAATATCAACTAAAGTGTTTTTTCCAAATTAACTTTGTGATTTTTAAGGAATAAAAAAGTTCAGCTGATTGAGTAAAATATTTCACAGTTGGTTCAAATAGAAGCAACTCTTAAAAAGGCTAATGGAAACCAGACTAACGTCTAACACTTGAGTTAAAGTAAATTGGTTTCTGTTCATATTGTCATTGCTAAAACTTCAAAAAAGTATTACAACATCAATATGGACTCAAACTAATTGCTCCCTGGAGCCTTCAGAAAACCTAATGCCATCTAGTTTTTTATAACACAGATGACACCAAACCAAAAACGTCCTCAAAGTAAACAGCTGCAGTAAAGCTCATCAACAAATATGTTTCAGGTTTGTGTGTCTGCAGCTGAATTGTTTGTTTTCAGGTGGTACTGAGTCCTGACTGCTTGGCTCAGGTTGCTCTGTAGTGGAAAAGCCAGTCTTCAGGTCTTCCTTAGGAGAGTTAGTTTCCCAGCTCAACACTGGAAACTGGCTGGCTCTGTTGATCCACTAAAGGCTAAGATTATTTTTCCGAACTAAAACCACAAGGACAGCAGACGTATCCACACTCTGGTCCAGTGGGTCAAACAGTAAGCCAGTTTCATTCTTTCTCTCCATCTTCTTACTTCAGCCTGTTGACTTAGTTTTATAATCCAGAAAACAGGAAGTGCCTCTGCTATGCCAACACACTCATGCTTTCTTACCTACATAACTGATGAAAACTACATTGCTGCCCGCTCATATCGAGCTTAAGCCTGTTGTTTAAAAAAATCTGGAAACATTTTCATTAAGGAGTAAACCTAATAGTCTCTGAGTCAAGCTAAAAGCTACTGGTTCAAGCCAACAGCTACTGGGTCAAGCTAAAAGCTACTGGGTCAAGCTAACTGAGTTCTAACAGCTACAGGGTAAAGCTAACAGCTACAGGGTCAAGCTAACAACTACAGGGTCAAGCTAGCAGCTACTGGGTCAAGCTAGCAGCTACTGGGTCAAGCTAACAGCTACTGAGTCATTCTAAAAGCTACTGAGTCAAGCTAACAGCTACTGGGTCAAGCTAACAGCTACTAGGTCAAGGGCTATGTCCAAATTCAAAATCTTCTCCAAATGTAGCCTAAAAATGCATCCTCCTTTTCCCTGTATTTCAAGGACAGGTGTGGTGTATCCTTAGAGGCTCCCCATATTCCAGGATTCATTGCAAGTTTATTTATTTATTTATTGCAATGATGGCGGATGAAGTGGGAGGGGATTGCAGTATTAAACATAAGCATATTAATATCTGGTGTTGAAAAATAAGAGTTTAAAGCAGTTGTGCTGTTGGGCTTTTTTCATTTTCATAGTTTTTATAGATCTGTGTCAAAAATAGTACGGAAAATACTCATAAGCCAGCATATATGGCAGGTCCCATAGTTCTTCAAATATTGCCGCTACTTTTCATTTGAACTTCTGTTTAGAGCTAGATCGCCCAAATTCACAATACTCACTTCTGTTGATGGAGGACTCAATATACATGGGACAGATAGGCCTAGGATGCTACCCCTGAAGTTGGACCGTATATTTATGTTGATGAGTTGGACACAGCCAAGGTAAGAGCTAACAAGTCAAGCTAGCTAACCGTTCCTGAGATTCAAGCTAACAAGGCCAAAATGGAGGAGGATGCCCATATTTGGGAGTGTCTTTGAGGACTCGAAGATGTAGGAAATGGTAGCAATTTTCACCCTGAGCTTCCACCCCAAGGACAAAAAGGCAACAGCCGTACTACAAGTTCTGTGTTGCTTTGCTAGCTGTAAACTGTCATCACCCAAAAAAAATCGTCAATGTGTAAATGTGCAGAGGGTATTGAACTAAGTAGTGTCAATACTTCCTTGAAAATGTTGATGTTTATAATGCACTTGTTCTTGCGGGTTTTGTGACGTAATGGTACATTTGACAGTAACGGTACCATACTGCAGCTCCAGGGGGTAACATTAGGCTTGAACTCGTTAAAATCAGTTTAACTTTGCAGTCTTATGTCTAGAAAATTAGCAGGTGTAGTGTTTGTGAAGCATTTCTACCAGGGACGGAGTTCCACTGTTTTTTCCTTCAAGTGCAACTAAAGAACATGTTATTAATAAACAACACAAATATCCTTTCTTAATTGATACCTCAGCTTTTTACGTGTGTGTGTGTGTGTGTGTGTGTGTGTGTGTGTGTGTGTGTGTGTGTGTGTGTGTGTGTGTGTGTGTGTGTGTGTGTGTGTGTGTGTGTGTGTGTGTGTTCTTTGTCTGACCCCCACAAAAAGCCTCTCTTTGTGCCATATCGGAGGCAGCCTTCCTAATCAGGGGTCATTACATGAGGTTAGTGTGGGCGTCTCCAGGGAGAGCAGAGAGGATCAGAGCTCAGATTAGACCCAGCCGACCTCTCACCGTCCCCGGGCACCACGTCAGCGAAACCTGACCCCACCTCCCAAGCCTTTACCCCCACCCTAAATGAGAGTAAATTAGACTGATTTACAGGCAAACTCAGCTGACTCTCTTTTCTTTTTCTTTCTTTCCTTTTTTTTTACCGTTCCAATCGTTCGTGTGTTTTATCAGTTGTGTGCTTGTGAATCAGGTGGGTTTGTGAGGGAGGAAGGTATGTGGCCCCAGGGGCAATAAGGAGGGGTAAGTGGCTGATTACCTGTAATAGCCCCTCACACAGACAGAGAGGAAGCGAGACAGAGGAGGTAAAAAGGAGAAACAGATAATCGAGGGTAGTCTCCTGATGTGGATGAGTGGATTGATGGAAGCGTCATTCTCATGCTCCAGTGGCCAAAATGCTGCTGATAAGACCAAATTCATGAGGTAGTTTTACACCGCTCTGCTCTGTTTTGGCCTGGGCGGACTTTGACTCCGGTGTCTTTAACAAATCAGGGCCTGCTTCTTGTTTCAGAGCTTTAATATGAGCAATAAGTTCATGTGCTGTTTTACTTTGTTGAACTTTTCAGCATTTCAGAGGTTGTATTCACTTATTACAAAGCTCCTGGGCATATATATATATATATATATATATATATATATATATATATATATATATATATATATTATATATTTTATATATATATTATATATTTTATATATATATTATATATTTTATATATATATTATATATTTTATATATATATATACATATTTTATATATATATATATATATATATATATATATATATATATATACATACACGTATATATATGTATCCATATATATGTGTGTATGTATGTATATGTATGTATGTATGTGTATATATATATGTATACATATATACACGTATATATATGTATACATATATACACGTGTATATATGTATACATATATATACACGTGTATATATGTATACATATATATACACGTATATATATGTATACATATATACACGTATATATATATGTATGTATATATATGTATATGTATACGTATATATATATACACGTATATATATGTATATTAGTGTCCTAGAAATTTTTTTCTGGAAATCTGACTGTTGAATTCTCCTGAATTATTTTGGGTTTGGATAGAAATTGTGACTGTTTGATGACTCCTTAATCTAATTGCACCATATGACACCTCAGCTGTATGAATACCAGAAAACTCCTTCAGAATAAAACAACTCCGTAAGAATGTGAGAGTGTAGATGTCCAGTGTCTGTTTGAGTCCCCAAACTCTGACCTTTCTCTTCTTGCGATGGATGTCTCCGATGCTGTTGGCCAGAGAGTTGGGTCCCAGCAGGGTGGAGGTGCTCTGAGGCCAGTCCACTGTCACCAGCGTGTGCTCGCCCATCAGAACCTTACGAATGTTCTCGGCACCCGTGACCCGAACCAGAGGGCGGCCCAGGAGGTGGGTCTTGAACACGTTGCCATACTTTTGTCTCCGTGATGCGTGGAAACTCGAACCCTGGATGACGAGGAAAAGGGGAAATGCTTGTTTTAGTCTTTTTATTCAACTTTACATCTTTTCTTGTTCGTGTGTTATGTTTCTAACCTCATCACACCTCCACCCTGATTATAATAAACAAGCACAAATGAATGAGACATTTTCACCAGCTTTGATCTTGGGTTTTACCATTGGAGGCCCAAACCGACAGGTTCTGATTTCTTTAATCCGCAGAGAAAAAGTCAACCTGCCCTCTGAAGGCTGGAGGTAGCAGCTGTTTCAGGAGCTCTCGTTCAAAAGGTTAATCCAATAAAAACTGATTTAAGTTGCCTTCAAGACATCAACCCATGAATAGTAGTTGAGGTTAAAGGTTCTAAAAACATTCTCAGCTCCTGCTTTCAGAACAGAAAATCACATTTCTCAACCAGGCCACGGATAAACGTGTCAAATCTTTTATTTTTTCACCTCATTTATGGTTGTTTTATGTTTGTTAGCTTTAAACAGTTTCATTTTCCTAAACTGGTTATTGATTTAGAGGCAGCCTGGGAGGCTAGACTCATAGCTGATGGTTGTGAGGGCCAACTTTAGTATCGGACAGGAGCAGAAGTGTAATCAGAATTTCCTTCTAGCTTTTAATCACAATAACCCAAATCCCTGATAAATCCAGATAATAAAAATATTTCATATAGCTTTTTGAAGCTATTTTCAGCGGTCTAGTCTAAATCTGTACAGACCTGGACTCCGTTATGGATCTGACCTGAGTGCAGCTCCGACCCCGACCTCTGAAACACCTCGGGTCATGGCAGAGCGAGACGGAGCCGACCCAAGAACTGTAAATGGGCTGTTTTAGAGAAACGTGTGTACACATTAGCCTGAGGGCAATTTACTGTGTTACACACACACACACACACACACACACACACACACACACACACACACACAGAGCGTAGCTGACGTTAACATGTAAGGATTCACACATACTGTTAAAAAACACGGGCATGTTCAGGTCCACATACACACATGACAGATTCATAACGTCCACTGAAAAAACATGCTTAGCAAACAAATACACGGAGGCCCGACTGCAAATTGCCGTGACAACACTAACTGGTATGACCCCAGTTTGCTCGCAGGGAAAAGGATTTGTATGACTGACTCACTCACTCACTCACTCACACACACACAGGGGGGGGGGGGGGGGGGTGTTATATATTTCAACACATACATGTGAAAAAAGCAGAACCCAGAGATGCTGTTAGACAACACAACTCCATCCGAGTTTCTTTTTGGTCATTTTAAAAATAAATAACCAAACTCTCCACAGGCTTCTGCAGCCTTCACGCTATATGATCATTCATGGCCAAAGCCCAGTTTTGGTTGATTGTTTCCTTGTTGAAACGTGGCTCTGGCAGCAGCTTTTTATTTGTCTTCACTCACAGCTTTATGCTGCACAACCTTCAGGTTTACGGTGTATTTTGTAGCTCAGAATCCTGCAGTGAAGCCCTGCGACTTTCAATAAAATCAGAATAAAATTCCGCTTCAGTTTCCAGTGACTGTTAAAGTAAAGAGGTGTTTAAAATCTGCACTGGCTACCTGCTCAGAGACCGCCACGTTCTGGCTGAAATTATGGGTTAAATACAGAAAATAACTTACGACTAAACTTTAAACCCATAAATCCCTTGTTTTATGAAATTAAAGACAGATTAAATTAATTTACAAAAAGTATTTCCTGCACTGGAGTGTATATGTAACAGTAGAGTTGTAGGAAATATTCAGATCAATGCATTCTTGTTATTCATGTACTGTGTAAGAAAATATACAAGCTATCAGAAGTTGTAAATTATTTCTATCATTGATTACGTGCATGATCATGTTTGCAAGTGAAGGGTGATGTTAAAAAACAAACTGAATAGGACCGAGTTCTTAGCCTTGGGGCACTCCACATGTAATACCCACTTTGTTAGAGTTAAAGCAACTAGAGGACAAACAAAAAGCTAAATATCTACTACGATGTTGAAATTCAATCTCCAAAAAAAGTCATACCATACTTTTCCGACAATGTAACACTTCCATTTGTTGGTCTTTGTCTCATAAATAGACATATTTTTAAAAAGTTTCATTCTGTTACAGCTTGTAATACTAGCATGTCCTCTACTTTGTGTCATCTAATAAAAAACATCTGAATTCACTAAATCTATAAGCTTTCCAGTTTGTTTGTAGTCCTTTTATTAAAATGGTGTTGTTTGTCGGGGTGTGTATCGGCAAAAAGCTGGAGATACAATAAATATCTCAATACAGGGGAGCCGATACGATATAGTGAGATGGTAAAGTCTGATGATGTTTTAAGAATGAATTTAACTGGAAGTCTCAGACTTCCAAGACACATCCAGTGTTATCACGAGATCTTTGTTGCATCAGAACGAAGGCGGCAAAAACTGCTGCCACCTAGCTGTAATAGTTTGAATTGCACCAGTAAATGGTGGCAAAGTCGTTGGGTTTAGCTTGTCTTCCAGGGGCTAAAGCCAGATTTCTGTTATGCTTTTATTTTGATATTTCTGATGTTGTGCATCATACAGCTTTTGAACAACGCATCAGACGTGTCTGCGGCTGTAATGTTGTTTTCTTAGCTGCTTTTCTTATCAATGTCTCTTGTATCTTAATTAATAGGAAAAACACTTATAACAACTCAAAAAGGACAGGTTTTTCAAAGCATACACCTTTTCTTGTTTCTCTGAAGTTCTTCATGTTGCAGGAACATAATGCAAGAGATGAGTTGTGCCAACTCAAACTCTTCATGGCTAATCAACCATGGATTTATATCAGAATGCTATCAAGCTAAAAATGTTGGGGTTTTTTCAGTTGGTGACTCCAAATATATTTGGGTTTAATTCTTGGTCCTTTTCTCACCTCCATGTGACGTTCCTCACATCTCTCTCTGCTAAATGGAGCCCAGATGCCCAGGTTTCCCTGCAGCCCCGTCGGCCGTTTCATGTTGCTTTGAAAACTCTGATCGCCAGACCTGCTTTTATAGATGAAGAATGCTGCTAATTAGCATTCTGGCCCAGACACCCCACCCCCACCCCCCACCACTTGTACTCGCGCTTAAGCTCCTTCAGATGTTAAGACCTCTTTGTGAGGTGTTGACAAAATGTTATTTTCACCGCGTGTTTATGCCGGCTTTTTCAATAAAACAGTCTTGGAGCTGCGCTGGCTTCTGGTTCATGTCAAAAATCAGCCGTCTGATTGTCGTTGCAGAGAATCCTTCTGTATGAGAGGACTCGCAGGTTCAGTTAGACCCTGGTTGCCTGCTGACTGACGGTTTCGTCTGGATTTCTGCACCCTTGCTGATTTCAGTTTTGACTTTTCTGTGTTGATCTCAAACTGTTGACCTGAGTTGTTTTCACAGCTCCTGTACACTTCCTCTTTTTACTGTGGCATGCACACACACACATTAACACAGACACACACCAGGTTGTCGACAGGCCTCTGGAGCCCTCTGGGTACGTACGTGTGTGTGTGTGTGTGTGTGTGTGTTAGAGCAGAGTTGTTTTCCTGGCTACAGTTTGCTGCCACATGGATATAGAGTGGTTTACTATGTCTGCCTGGCAGAACTACACACACATACACACATGCAGATTCAAAGGGAGTTCCTCAGGCAGTCAGACAAGGCTCCCTTTCACACCCTATGATACAGCATCAGATGGGAGTGATTGTGCACTACTTAGGTGTGTGTGTGTGTGTGTGTGTGTGTGTGTGTGTGTGTGTGTGTGTGTGTGTGTTACTTGTCTTTCCATTCCTCTGTTTTCACACACACATTTCAGACTGAGAGTTGCATTCTGTCATATTCTCTGCAGGAAAATGGAAAGAAATTGGCCTACGACCACTAAAGAAAATGGGTTACACTCAAGTGATCTGTGAGCCAGGGGTGTGGTCTGGATGACATTTAACTTATAGGTGAGACACACACACACACACACACACACACACACACACCCCTCAAATGGAAAGTTGTGATGTAATGACGCCACACTTCTCCTGCAAGAGAACACGTATGTAACCACATTCGGGCTTGCGAACACACACAGCCGTCTGAGCTGCAGACGTTGCCACAGTGACCAGGGGCGTCTCTGCTTCACACTGATTGCGCAGGAGCCCTCGCTGTAAATACTCGCTACGTTTTTCACTAGAACACCCCCAGAAACCAAAGTCACCACCGTGACATTACGGCTGCTTCAACCACTGAGGTCAGGCCTGGAAACCAGAGAGGTTTCTCCTAATGATGGCGGGCAAAAAGTTTTACAGCTCCTTTTTTTTAAGGGCATGTTGCTTGGCAACCAAGAGAGGTACAAGCTGGATGGAGGATTTTCCAGCACAAGTTAGCAGTTTGAATTCAATCCCTTCTGTCTGTTGATGAAATTGATTTATTTGTTTATTTATTTATTCCCAGCCTAAGTAGCAGTTTACTGGATTACTTATAAAATAAATTTAATTTTCCCACAAAAATAATTAAATATGCTCAAACTTGTCTGAAGAAATGTTGGTAGAATTTCACAATAAGGTCCCTTCCTTAACATTACTTAGTGCATTATTAAGCAGTAATTAGCTATTAAATAACAACTGCTTAATATTAATGTCAGTATTAAGTAATGCATTACTAAGTAGACCCCCCGGCTTTTATCATAACCTTAAGGACACCTCATAGTTAACTATATTGTGATGTTAATAAAGGGATTTTTTGTTTATTAATGTTTAATACTGCACTAAGTAACATTAATTAAAGGGCCCTTATTGTGTTACTGACATGTTTTACACAAAACTTTACACTTCTAAACTTTTTAGGTTATTTTGCTCATCGATATGTCCAAATTTAAGTTACTTCACCACTGAGATACCCAACATGTATTTCTTTACTCACAAAATAATTCTGTAAAACACCCATCATTGGTGCGATTTCCCAAATTTTAGACTAAATAGAAGAATTTTCAACTATTTTAAATCTTCCTTCCAATTATTTTACTTTT